TCCCCAGGATAAACAGGTCTCAGTGGCGCTTCCAGACTAAGAACTCATGAAGAAGAAGGAATAAGCCCCTTACCCCCGCCTCCACTCTCCTTAGGACTGAGAGAATCATAAATGATTGCAAGGGGACCAACATTGAACTATGGCTTTGTACCTTGGTCTCAGGATCTGGGGTTAGCCACTAAGAATCTTTGAATAGCAGCAGAGCATCATGACATACATTGCTAGAACATGCTACTCTCAGATTAGAAGGCACTCAAAACACGACTGAGGAAGAGTGGCTCTACTCCAAGTAGCATTGACTTAATGATGTGCACAGAGTAAAGCTTTCAGGACCTTTATTTGCTGAAAAGACACAACTCAAAATGATAAGAAACAGTGGTAAACATCCACTAAAATTGAATAAAATATGAATGGATAAAGTATGAGTCTAGGAAAATTCAAAGTTGTCAAAAATGAAATGGAACACATGAAGACCAATAGGCATTGGTTGAGCTGACATAGGCTGGGATTGGCCATTTTGAGTCAGGTAATCATATGGTTTACATGTCAGGAAGGACAAATTCAAGAGGAATAGAATCTCACTCATCATTGCAAAGAACATTTAGCACTCTACCATGAAGTACTTGCCATCTGTTCAAGGATAAGATCTATACACATCTACAGTAGAACCCCAGACCTCAGAGCTAATCCCTTCTAGAAGGAGCGTCGAGATGTGATGCAGTCGATTTTCGAATCAATTTTTCCCATAAGAAATAACTGAAAACAGATTAAGCCATTCTTGACCAGCAGGTTTTTACCCTAATCTTGCCTTTTCATGCAAAACAGTACACAGAAATGTCAAAGTAAATAATTTCAGTTAAATAATATAATTTCAATAAGAAACACAACATTAAAAATATTTTTAAAACTACAGTATAGCCTATACCTTGAGACGATGAGGCTCTGGATCTGTGGACTCGGATGTGGAGAGGAGGGATGGAGAGAGAGTCATTGTTTGGTTTTCAGGAGGGTTTCCCCCCCTTCTTTGCCTTTTTTCACAAGGACTTGGCTGGCTTTCTCTAATTAAAAAAAATCTGTCTAATGTGGTCTGCTGTTGGCATTTCCTTAACTGTTTTTTTAAAGTGTTTACTAAATTGTCATCAACAATATCAATAACACGGTTAACCAGTTCCTTATCATGATGATTCTTTTCAAAAAACTCTTTCTTGGGATCCATGCTTTGTTTGTTTTTCATCTAAAAACAGTACAAAAATCCACAAAAACTAAGAAAAGTATAGCAAAATGCTTGGAACAGGTTTAAACAAGGCGTACTAACAATGCCAACCGAGTGACCAAAACACAACCTGCTTCTGTTTATGGAAATCACGTGCGTCAGGTCAGATTGCAATGTTTTACTCAAGCTCCGATGCAAAATTTCCTTGACATTTCCCATTGAGATCCGATTATGTCAAGTACTGATGTGGTCACGTACCGGGTTCTACTACATATGATATCTACACAGAGTATTAGAGAAGGCTCATTAGCAACGTGTGATATGCAGACGGAACAACCGTGTTTGCTGAAAGCCAGGAGGACTTGAAACGCTAGCTGATGAAAATCAGAGACTGCAGCTTTCAGTGTAAAGAAAACCAAAATAGTCACAATGGAGGAAAGATGACAATTGTCAAGGATTTCACTTTACTTGAACCTACAATCAACACTAATGGAAGCAGTTGAGAAATTAAACACCCTATGGCACTGGGAAAATCTTGTAAACGGCAAAGATCTTTTTAAAGTGTTAAAGAATGAAGATGTCACTTGAGGGAGTAAGGTACGCCTGTCCAAAGTCATGGTGTTTTCAATTGCCTCATACGCATGCGAAAGCAGAATAGTGAATGAGAACTGCGAAACGAGGCATAATGCATGGTGCTGGGGGGCTGCCAGAGGCCACACAAATCTACCTTGAAGGGAGTGTCACTAGAATGACCTTAGAAGTGAGGATGGCAAGACTTTAGCTTTCATCCTTTGGACCTGTTTTCAGGAGTACCAATCCCTAGAAAATGACCCCGTGCTTGGTAAAGCAGAAGGTCACTGGAAAAAAGGAAGCCCTTTCATGAGATAGATTGTGAGAGTAGCGGCAACAAGAGAGTCAAATTTCACAACCATTGTGAGGAGGGCACAAGATGGCAATATTTTGTTCTGTTGGCCACAGCGCGGCGGTCCGTAAGAACTGCCTTGATAGCACATAACAACAACAAAGGGTCACTATGAGTCGGTATCAATTTCACAGCAGACATTGGGCTTTTGTCTTTAATCTTTTGTCAGCTACATGAAAACTCAGAGGTACATAGTTTGGGAGATGGAAACATCGTCTCTGACTCACGCTGCCTACATTCGCATAGCCACTCTGCTGCATGTGGTACCAACACTGTGGCATTAGGCAAATTATCTCACTTCTCTGAGCCTCAAAAATGCATTGAAACCCACAACACTTTAATAAAGGAACCATGAATAACCCAATCCAAAAATGGGCAGAACACATGAATAGACAATTCACGAAAGATGGCATCCAGGTGGTCAGCCATCATGAAGAAATGCTTGTGATCATTGGCTATAAGAGAAATCCAAATTAAACAACGTTTAAATCAAGCTTCCACTTGATACCAATACTGATAGAAAAATTCAAAACACAAAAAAATAACAATTGCTGAAGAGGATGTGGTGGGTTTGGAATTGCTGGTGGGATCGCAGAAGTATACAGCTACTATGGAAAACAGTCTGGCACTTCCTTAAACAAATGCGAATCTAAATACTATATGTCCCTGTAATCTCTCTGCTCAGCATATACCCCAAAGTACAAAATACAAACCAATATATGCACCCCCATGTTGATCTTTCTCTAATAGCAAAAAGGGTAGAAACAACCAACAAGCCCATCTGGGGAGGAATGGATAAGCAAACTCCAGTACATACACAATAGAATATTTTGCATGTCTGAAAAACAAGAACAATACTGTCAAACATTTCATGACACGGGCAAATTTGGAAGACATTATGCTCAGTAAAATTAGTCAATCTCATAAAGACAAATACTCCATGTGACCATTATTAAGGAAAACTCTAAGGAATATGGCTTTTACACCCAAAGAAGCAGGCTTCGAAGGCTATGGAGAGGCTGGTGGGAATCGGGAAAAGACAAGGAGGGAAGAGGGGAAAGAACTAGCAGGGCCACAAACCTGGGAGGGGGGCTTTGCTGAGGTTCTGTCAGTGCTCCGTGAGATAGGCTGCGCTACTGTTCTTGGAATGTTTTTCCCTGTATGTGTTAGGAGAGAGAGAGAGAGAGAGAGAGAGAGAGAGAGAGAGGTCAAAGTCTTGAAAGCCCTCCAGTTTCCTTCCCCATGGGATCTAAACATTGGTCTGAGTAGTTACAAAAGGAGGAAAAGTAACAATGAAACAGACTTCAACGCTTTTGTTGCAAATGGACTAGTTTCAAACAATTTAAATTAGTTCATTAAATAATGAAATGCATGTGTGATTAAGTATTAAAAAACATTAAGTGGTATCATTTGCATCTACTTGTCTTCACTCGAATACACTTTATCCCTGTCTGTGGTATCTGTCTATACTTTGTTTCTACTTTGTTTCTGCCTCTTGTGGTCATAGGATACTGATTTTGCTTTGGGGAACTCCCCTCTGTTTTTGAATACCTACTGCTTGGGCTTATTTTCAAGGCACGTAGACAACGCCCCCACTGCCTCATTTCCCACCAGTGAGAGGGCTGCTTGTGACCAAAAGATTTAGCTCTCTCCTTTAAATGTGATCTAGGCAGAGTGTATTAGTCTGGGTACTTTAGAGAAACAAATCCACAGAAACTCATGTATAAGATAAAGTGACCAGACATCTCGCTTTTGGCAGAATAGTCCCGATTTTTGGCGTTTACAAAAGTCCCAATTTTTGGAATGAATGCACAACAAGCTAGGGAACGGTCTATTTGTTCCATATAGACCAAATTTTTATTCAAGAACCACCCCCCAGTCAATCGTGTCCCACTTTAAATCTGGTCAACTTAGTGTACGAGAGAGTTTTATATAAACGTTAAGTGTGCATCAAGAAAACATCCCAACCCAGTGCTTCCCAAGCCCACAAGTACAGCATTAACCCATATGTCCTACACCAATCCACAAAGACCTCCTCCACCTCACAAAACACACACTCTGATGCTGACTGCAGGAGGAAAGCCAAATCAATGAATGTGTAAGCATCTCAGCACTGGCAGGGGTTTCCACATGGGTGCTCCAGCACCCAGGGCTGCATTGGGGTA